ACGGAAAGCTAGTTCAAAGCCCAATGTCAACCGATAAATAAACCAATTTTCCCAGACTATTTATCAATCAGTACATCAACAACGCTACCATGGATTTGATGTAAAGATGGCTTAGTCAGTTTGAGAAGAAAATGAACTTGTGTGATGCAAAACCGTAAGTATCGATATTATTTAGGACCATAAGTGTTAACAACTGAATAGAAATACATGTTTAGTTATGAATTGCCTTATCAAAAATAAATCAACTTTCGTACCTATAAGAACTTTATTAAAAAATCTTACTACAATATTAGTGATGCAAAACCGTAAGTATCGATATTATTTTGGACCATAAGTGTTAACAACTGAATAGAAATACATGTTTAATTTTGAATTGCGTTATCTAAATAAATCAACTTTCGTACCTATAAGATCTTTATTAAAAAAATCTTACTACAATATTAGTGATACATCAATATAACCTTTAGAAATACGTTTATTCAAAAGAATCAATATGTAATTATGGATCTTATCTTTTCATTGTTTACAAGCTCTTTAAAAAACATCACCGTTAAAAAAGAAGGATGTGGTTTCCCCAAATAGTTGTATCTGTCAGAGAATTTTGACTGAGTGTGGATTCACATGGCGTGTGATGCATGTATAGAAGGGGTCGCTTATCCACTCGTCAAATCAGGTATTGCTTTGTTTTGACTTCATGTCAAAACTGTGGGTTTTTTTTATTTTGGTTTGTATCTTCTAATTAGTTTACGAGATTTGAACATCAATAAACAACTATTGCTACAAATTTAAGTAATTTGTGGTAACGATAATTCTGGCTTATAATTTCTCATGGACATGGGCATAGCAACCGAGTTGAAAAATATACACGACGTAATAGGAAAATCAGTGTTCAAAAAAGGAATATTAACAACAGTGAATAAAAAAATCTCTTTCGTCGTCAATTTGGTTCTTTACCGAAAGAATGCCCATTGTTGATGGTCTGCCCGCCGATTAAGAAAGATTCGCGGCATGGACTAGCGAAGATTGCTTACAAATATTTATTATTGTTGTTTACAGCAGCTTTTGTAAAATTACTGACCAGTTGAAGAGATGTGATGAAACAAATTGCAATTTGGGTTGATTTGATGAAACAAATTGCAATTGAGACTGATTTGATGAAACAAGTTGAAATTAGGGATGATTTGATGAAACATGCAGCACTTGGGGGATAATTTTGAGTTGAGTGCAATATGTGGATAGAAATAGTACAAAGTAAGTCACTGTAAATTGATTAAGGCAAATCTTTGCTAAATTTTGCCATAAAAGAGAGGCGAAAGATACCAAAAGGACATTCAAATTCAACTTAGTTTCATAACAATACAGGAACAAGTCTGCTATTAAAGGGATGCAAATGGTTCCCATAGGATTACCTCCAACTTATGGATAAATGTATTGCCAAAAAAAAAAAAAAAAATCGCGCGTAGATGTTATAAAGGAGAAAATGTGCAGCTGAAATCATCTCATCATAGTTCAAGAAAGGATATCTTACATATTCATCTTTTTTCTTTACAGAAGAAGGCTTTATATGAGTTGCAACATTTGGACTATCTAATAAATTAATAAAACTCTTGTTTGATAAAATGGCATGAAAGTGAAGCATAGAGAGTCGAAAAGTCATAACTTTCAACCGGATTTAATTGATTTTGGTGTTTTAACGCCACTTTTAAGCACCGCTTTTAGGCTATTTCGTGGCGGCCAGTTTTTGTTGGTGGAGGAGTGCCCGGAGAAAACCACCGACCTTCGATAGGAAAACTGACAATCCTAGTCAATTAAGATTGGAGTCGAGTGCACCCGCACAAGCGGGGTTCGAACTCACAACCTCGGTGTTGACTGGCTAGTGATTACAGAAGTAACTACTTAGACCACTCGGCCACCGAGGCCCCCCGAATTTAAAGTTCCATTAGTAGTCTGTAATTTATTTAAACCATCTAACGAGTATTTTTGCACTCCAAATTTGATTATTTCCAAAATTTACATAATTATTCTTTATTATAAAGTTCTTTTCTAATAGTCAGGTCACATATTCTCGTGACACATATACTCTGTATGCAGATTAAACACGGTATATTACTGTTAATATCTGGAAAATCAATTACAATAGTTTCAAAGATAAATTTGTCACGTCTCTTCATAGAAAATGTATTAGGACTAAGCCCATCCGATCGATACTTAAGAAAATAACATCTTATGAAGAAAAAGAGTTATCATAGTAACGGTATTGGAGGAGGGGTGGGGGTGTCCTTCCTTATGGGATATTCATTTGCACCTGTTTCTAGTATGGCTCAAATGAATTTGCATAAACTATTTGCCAGTAGACGTTAAAGTAAAAACCAACCAATAAAGAAATCATGAATCTTCTTTGAATTTACAATTTCAAATCGATGTAAAATATTTAGGGATATTTAAAAAAAAAGTCTTTACACCGAATATATGCATAGTAAAAAAGAATTTTTGCATAATGATTTAGATATTTCTCGATTCTCTAAAGTGACGCTAATCATGCTAATGGAGAAACAATTTCAATGGCAACATAATTGATATGATCTGACCAAGATAATTGCATAGATCTACAAAATTTTTAAAACCTTTTAACAGTGACTTTTATTATGTTCCTTTGAAATCACATTCATAATAAATTTTTTTGTATTACCAGTTTGAACCAAACTTTTTCTCACTGTTGAAGGCCGTACAGTTGCCTATAATTGCTTACATCCACTTCATTTGAACTTTGGTGGATAGTTGTCTCATTGGCAATCATACAACATATTTCCTTATTTTTAGCTCACCTGACCTGAAAGGTCAAGTGAGCTTTTCTCATCACTTTGTGTCCGTCGTTCGTCGTCCTGCGTCCGTCGTCCGTCGTCCGTAAACTTTTACAAAAATCTTCTCCTCTGAAACCACTGGGCCAAATTTAACCAAACTTGGCTACAATCATCATTAGGGTATCTAGTTTAAAAAATATGTCCGATGACCCTGCCAACCAACCAAGATGGCCGCCATGGCTAAAAATAGAACATAGGGGTAAAATGTAGATTTTGGCTTATATCTCTGAAACCAAAGCATTTAGAGTAAATCTGACATAAGTAAAACTGATTATCAGGTCAAGATCTATCTGCCCTGAAATTTTCAGACAAATCTGACAATCTGTTGTTGGGTTGCTGCCCCCGAATTGGTAATTTTAAGGAAATTTTGCAGTTTTTGGTTATTATCTTGAATATTATTATAGATAGAGATAAACTGTAAACAGCAATAATGTTCAGTAAAGTAAGATCTACAAATAAGTCGCCATGACCAAAATTATCAGTCGACCCCTTTGAGAGTTATTGCCCTTAATAGTCAATTTTTAACAATTTTTCATAAATTTTTGTAATCTTTTACAAAAATCTTCTTCTCTGAAACTACTGAGACAAATTTAACCATACTTGGCCATAATCATTATTAGGGTATCTAGTTTAAAAAATATGTCCGATGACCCCGCCTTCCAACCATCATGGCCGACGTGGTTAAAAATAGACAATAGGGGTAAAATGCAGTTTTTGGTTTATATCTCTGAAACTAAATCATTTAGAGCAAATCTGACAGGTGGGAAAAATGTTCATCAGATTTAGATTTATCTGCCCTGAAATTTTCAGACGAATCCGACAACCCGTTGTTGGGTTGCTGCCCCTGAGTTAGTAATTTGGCAAAAATTTTGCTGTTTTTTGTTATTATCTTAGATATCATTATAATATCTAATATCTAATACTATTAATTATGATTTTAACCTTATTTTACATGATTTCCAAGCATCAGTAAATACAGGTGAGCGACACAGGCTCTTGAGAGCCTCTAGTTTATTTATAATTATTTGTTGGTCTTTAGATTTGTTAAAATTAATCTCATTCCGTTCCAATCGTGGAAAACCTTAGGGATAACAGGATTGAAAAGTGGACATTGTTGGCATGGGGAATAAATCATGATGAGCAGTCATGCACTCTTTATAAGCCTTTAGTTTTAGAAATCACAGAAACGGTGATCTTCCCACGAAAACTTTCAGAAGTTGTAACAAAGTTAATAGATGACAGGTTAAGACACAAAGCGATTTGAAAATGTCACCCACGTGTTTGTTTAAATGTAAAAACAAAATCAACTGCAAAAAACCTACACCCTTGATTCATTATACGCGGCCTCTAAATGAACTTCTGTCTGTTTTTGGATTTTTTTTTGCTGGAAATTGGGAATCGTGAAAGTAGACCATCATTATTATATATGCTTAACATATATTTCTTTGAGTCTTTTAAAAATATCCTATAATGAAAATACTCGTATTAATTTATGAAAATTTCATTATAACTATTAGGTCAATTTTAGTCACGGACAATTTGTTTTGGAAAAAAGAGCCAACTTATACGTCAAAAAATCTTAATTGTTAAACAAATAAAATTCTAAACCGAACTAGAATAGGTCAATTTTATACCCATTAGCAAGTTATGCAACCTCCCATCAAAGTATTCGAAAGAATCGGAACTCCGTTCAACCTATCAGTTTGTTTTGGAAATGAAAGCTTTGCATCAAAAAACAATTCTCGAAAAAAAAAGATCGAATTTATTTCAATTATTCGTAGAATTTATGTCCGTGTTAATGAAAAATAATAGCGATAGTTGACAACCGAGCTCCGGAAGGATTTTAAAGAATGAGAAATTTAACGTTACCGCACCTGTTATTCGACTTATTCTAGATAAATTTAACTTTAATCGTATCAAAAATTTACCAATTACATCAAAGTTTTTATCTTAATTTATTTACCACTTACTTTATATCTACAGGGTGGAAATGACAACAGCTAACAATTTTAACTATGCTAACATTAAAATAAGATAAGTTTGTTTCCTATATCCGTCTGTCCATTGTATGACGTGTTGCAGCGAGAGCTCCTGATAAGCAATCTCATGAACTGTCACGTTACCCTGTTAAATACTGGGTATTCTCCTTTCATCTGTCCACTAGGTCCATCTCCTGAACGGCTCACATCAGTATGGTTTCACTCAAGGCTGTAGTCCTCCTGCTGGGACTTGTTGCGGGGTCTCTAGCAATCAGAGGTAGGCTTTTTTAATGTTTATAATATTTCTTGCTAATGTTAAAACATCATCAAACTAATCAAATAGAAAACAAACGAGTTATTGTTTTAATTAAGAGGGCAATTCTGTGTTTGCTGATTTGCAAACTACATTGAGTCATAATTTCTAAGCATTATAAAACAAATTGCATTTTACTTTTTTTCAATTCTACACATTTAATATCAAACTTTACTAGAAATGCTAGAACGTCTTGAGATTTAGCATATAAATAACGAATACATTTTATGTAAAACAGAATTACGCACCTCTGGATATTGCAAAGAGTTTTCACTATCATAAATAAAAAAATAATATTAAAAAAATAAATGCCTTGTATTTGCATATGTTCGTTCAAACAAGCAAAACTATAATGCAATAGCAAGCAATTTATAGTTCGATATATATTCTGAAAATATCATTTTGCCACATTTAAGATTGAAAACTGCCATGGAGGAACAGTTTCTTTAATATGGCATTTTTTTCCCTTACAAATCGGTATCTGACTAATGGAAATTAGATTATATTCTAACCGTATATTTTTGTTTTGTTTTAGCTAAAAGACAGCTAAACTGCATTGGTAAGTAATTCATTTTATTTGTATTTCTTAACAGAAAATCTAAAAGAGGGCATCTCTCTGACTTGTTGCTAGTTAGCTTCAAGTATCTTCACGGGTATGTGTAGTTACACCTTCCATGTGAAATGACGTTTACGGTAGCAACTTGTCTGTTAAACTATGTCATTTTTGCTTGTTAGTTTCTTCATTTTCTCCACGACTCTTCCTGTCTTTATCGATCAAATTTGGTAAATAAAGCATTAGCATTTCAGTAACAACTATAACAAAAAATCCACTTATATCTGAGAGTTTACAGTAGATTGAAATAGATGTATATTTTTATTAATTTTTATTAAAAATTTTAATTTATTTGGTTTATTTGGCGACAAAATACACATTTGTCTTCATTATTTGCATTAATTATATAGGTGGTTGGCGCCAGCAAACATGTTTAACTCCGCTACATTCTATATGTTCCTGTCCCAAGTCAGGACCCTGTAATTCAGTGGTTGTCGTTTGTTGCTGTATATCATATTTGCTTTTTGTTTATTGTTTTGTACATACATCTAGCCATTAGTTTTCTCGTTTGAATTTTTTACATTTGTTATTTCGGGGTCTTTTTTTTAGCTTACCATGCGAAATGGGTTTTGCTCATAGTTGAAGGGCGTACGGTGACCTATATTTGGTCTACGTCATTTGGTCTCTTGTGGGGAGCTGTCTTATTGCAATCATACCACATCTTCTTATTTTTATACTTCATCTAGTACAAAAAGTAATTCCTGGATTTTTAGAACTTTAAAAAGTTTAACCATACAAATAAACATAAGGACGAACATATATTGTCAACATGTTTTGACTGCAAGTAGAATGGGTATCATGACCAAAGATAAGCCTCTCTTTTTCGACTTAACAGTGATTATCGAGTATTTCATATTCTTAACAGGACCACGTATGGTCGGTGACTAGAGTTCCCGTGTTAGAAACAACTGACATTATATAGAGAAAAAGTATAAATAGGTTTCAGTCGGCTAGCAAATTCTTTTGAGAACATCTAAATAAAATGTTATATTAAAGTCTGACAGGATTTAGATGGTAATAAAATCATGAAATATATCTGCTATTTGTATGAATTTTGGATGTTTCTCTTTTTTCCAAATATTAAACGGTGTTTTTAATCAAGCATTCCGTTTTACATACATACATGTACTTTGATTTTTTCTTCTGTTTGAATTGCTTCCTAAAAATCAGTGTGATTTGATTACCATATTACTCTTTAAGTCCTAACAAAGTTTCATTTTATTCATTTGAGGATTTAGTCTATTTTGATGGTTGTGATATTATCTGGCTTATCTTTGACACAATTGCCCTGACTCAAGCTTTGTTTATGGTTAAAAAAAAAAGGACAAGAAATAAAATGTGAAATTTGAGGGATTCTTGATCTATTTATTTACAATCACAATTGCAGTTTACTGTTTTCAATTCTCGGACTTTACATACGCCTGAACAACAAAAAAATAATCGAAATCTAGTATATGTTAAAATAAAAACAGTTGTTACAATGTATAATCTTCACAATTAAGAATTACGTTTTTTTCTAAATTGAACACTTACTTGTATGATCTTCGTGTTTTTGCCGTTTAAAATATTTTTCGTCCAAAACGTCTAACTGTGCAACCTGAATGATATTAAGCATGAAGGATAACTACAAACTTGACTTTGTGATAGTTTTCAAAATTTCCAAAACCTTTATTGGAATATCCACTGTCTGAAGTTTCACTCTCAGACTCTTGTCTAAGCCTTATGACAATTTAACTAGCTTAGTCCTACTTCCTGTTCGTTGCCTAGAAATCTACGAAGTAATCTATGATGCAAACTAAATTAAAATCTCGTGATTGCAAAGAACAAATGAATGGTTCCTAATTGACTGTTTGCTTAACTTTAAGTGGCAAATCTTTCATGTATATTAATGAGGTGAACAAGAATATATCAATGAAGAATCTCTTAAAAATGAGTCGACCTAGGTGAAGGATGCCAAATTTGAAGTGCTTCTACAAAAAGAGGTTCCGAGAAACGCGTCAGCATAAAATTAACGAGATGTGGTACGATTGTCAATTAGACAACTATCAAACAGAGACCAGTATGATTGTCAATTAGACAACTATCAAACAGAGACCATTCTGATTGTCAATTAGACAACTATCAAACAGAGACCAGTATGATTGTCAATTAGACAACTATCAAACAGAGACCGAATCACGAGGATATAAACAACTAAAGGTTACCGTACGGTATTCAACAATGAGCAAAACTCATACAATATAGTAAGGTATAAAAGGTCCTCGCATGAAAAATGTTGAACAATTCAAAAGAGAAAACCAATGTTAAAAAACAAAAAATGAAGAACACTGTGACAGTGGTTGTTTCTTTATATGTTCGTACCTTGTGGAATTTGTGCTATGCTAGATCTATCGTAGCTTCTGTTAAACTTATTCACCTCTTGTCTAAACGCGAAGGCGTTATAATTTTTGCTGTATTGTATATATGTTACAGTAAATGTGTATAATTAGGAATTATGTATAATCCCTGAAATTTTCAGGGATTATGTATAATCACTGGTAACTTAAGTGATTATATATAATCAATAAAATTTTCAGGAATTATGCATAATCACTAGAAAAAAATGTCAGGGATTATACATAATAACTGGAATGAAGAGATAGTTCATAAAAGTAAAATAATTCATTCTATAAAATCATATTTAAACATTTTTAGAAGTATAAATATTAAAATGTTAAGCACAATACTCTGATATAAATCGCATTGAAAATTTAGATGACAACTTCTATTGCAGATTTAACAATCAACCATTTTCATGCTCTGCTTTTCTGTTTTTTCGCAACGATATCCACTTTATAAAAAAAACCTGTCCTTCATATATTGAATCTGATTTACTGTACATTTGTACGTTGAAGAGAACAAAAATGTGAATCATCCACCTCCAATTAATTTATTGTGTGAGATCTGAGCAAAGTTCTTTGCTTCGTAGCCAGGCAATATCCTTTTTAGTCTATACATGTACAAGGGTCATTATTTTTTTTGTCTTCCATTCCGTGATCAATATGCGGAATCGGTATCAAATCTTTACAACCAATGTTTGCCTCCTCTATTTGTTCATTTAGTGACATATTGCTAAGTTTGAATTTCTTGTTCATTGGTAACATAGAAAACATAAAACAGATGCCTTCATCACATGAATGTGCATTTGACGTTGTTTTGGACAAACAATAAATGCATGTCACTATTAATATTATTGAGAATGTTGGTATTAGTAATTTCAATGTTTAATACATGTTTGTTTATAAGTTAATGTGGTTCAACACAGTTAAATACCATATCACTGGAAAAACTGTTCCTTTCAGATTCGATAAATGATCAGGGAATGAAAATTGTCCTCTTAAGATTTAAAAGGGTAGGCAATAATCAAAAGATGATTTATTTTTATTAAACAAAGGATTTTTTTTTGTTTAATTGTATTACTGATAATCCCTGAAATAATATCAGGGAATTTGTAAAATAATTCATAAAATTTTCAGTGATTATGTATAATCACTGGTCATTGTCAGGGATTATATATACTTGTTATTACTATTGACTTTACTATTGGATTCTACATAATCTCTAATTATACAAATTCACTGTAACATATACATCTTACTTTAATTGTTGAAGACCAGTTGTCGTTATTTCTCTTTTGCTTGTTTTTTTTATGTCCATTGGTTGATGTCTCATTGGCGTACCCCCAAATATTCTTTTGTCCATGCTTGTCAAATGTTGCATGCACCTTTGTGGTGACTTCCAGATGTCTCAATGTTTTATTGTTCGGTTACTCTTTTATTAGCAACAGCCTTCTTATATTCGTATAATAAGCTAGATAACAAATTAGGACATTATTTGGTATACCAATCGTCAGTTCAACTGAACTTGAAAATAAACCACCCGACAACTTACATATTAATAAAATAAAAGAGAGTAAGAAAAGTTTTTTTTAATTCATGTTTTGTTTTGCAGATCAATGGACAAATATTCCAAACCCATGCCAAAATAATCCTCAGAAAGCAATCTATCTACCTCATCCAACAGACGGTACTAAATTCATACAATGCGACCTGTTCGGGAGAATGTACATTATTCAGTGTCCAAAAGGAGAATCATACGACAGATCTACTGCTTCCTGTACCCGTGGCAATGTATTACCAACTGTTGTTATACAGCCAGTTATAACAACCCCAACAACCACCACAAGAGCACCACAAACAGGGGCTATTAATCCATGCTCAAATGCAAACCTCGCACAAGGACTTATATATTTTTCTTATCCTCTTGATACAACTAAATTTATCGAATGCGATCTACTCGGAAAAGCAATGATTTTACAATGTAACATCGGGTTGGTATGGAATCAACAAAGATTATCTTGCGTGTATGACTTGAAACCAGGAGGAGTTATTACCACCACAATGGCCCCAGTAACGAGCGGAACTGGAACAGGCACCGGAACCGGAACCGGAACTGGCACTGGTACCGGAAATCCAGCTAGTCTTTGCAGAGTAAATGCAAACAGCTTAGATGATTTATTCCACCCACATCCAGATCCACACAAGTTTTATCAATGCGATCTTTGGGGAGATGTTTTTGTCAACAATTGTCCAACTAATCTTATTTGGAATGATACAGCAAAAACATGTTCATCTCCATATGTTAAAATTGGACCAAACGGAAATCTAGTTGGATAAAATGTAAGACTCATCTTTAATTGAATAATGTTTTTTTTATAGATTACTATGAAATAATTAAAAGAAATATAAAAAGTAAAGTTGTATATAATATCTTGTTAATCGATATAAGCCTTGTGCATTTGGCATGAACTTGATGTTGTTTTTTTCCTGTGGTTTGATATCAACAAAGGAAAAAAAAACGACAGAAAATCTTGCAACAGTGATATGAATTACCAGAAACTACTATCATAGGTGCTTGAGGACAGGACCCATGTTGAGCCCCCATAGTCCCTCCCCCTGTATCATTATAAATCCCGAATTTCTAATATATATCATTTATTTATCAAATCAAATTTTCATTAAAATTACATGAAGGAATCAAACAAGTTGTGAAACTAGTTCATTATGTTAATTTGGTAAGGTTGGACAAACTTGGGTTTTATATTTCTCCTTTTTTGCTGCCCCGGTTTCGAAATTCTCATTTCTTCTTAACCGATTGTTTTCTCTTTCTTCTCCGCAGCCAATAACTGCCCCTCCAATCAATCCCCCATCCTGTTTTCCTCAATAAAATTGGACATATTTAAGTCTAGGTAACACAGTTAATTAATAAATTTCAATTATATGGTTGAACTATAGCTAGCTTTCAGTAACTACGAGTGCTCTTAGATTTGAAGTTTGTGCCTTTTCTCTGTTTGTTATTTTTTTTTTGTGCTTCGTGACGATCATAGGTGTCAATCCCATTCCAACTGATTTTAACACTTAGGTCTTGCTATTACGCATCTGTTCAGGGAGAGAAGAGGGTTTAGCGCTCAAAACATGACAGTTAATCCCATCACTTTCATTATGTGCCTGTCCAATGTCAGGAATTCGTAATTGATTGGTTGTCGTTGGTTGCTGTCTGCCATAGTTGTGTTATGTTATGTTTATTGTTTGTTTTTTTAAATACACCAGACCATTGATTTTCTCTTTTGAAATGTTTCCATTTTGTCATGCCGCGGCTTTTTATAGCTTACTATACGGTATGGGGTTTGCTCATAGTAGAAGGCCATACGGGGACCTATAGTTGAATACATCACTGTCTGTCGGGCTCTGGTACTTATTTTTGTTTTAACAAGAGGCAACAAAGTTCAATGCCGCCATGCAGGTTGGAATGCTTTGTTTACCTTTTCATTATTATTTTTTGTTTATTGTACCAAATTATAATTATTTCTGTTCAACAAGAACGAGATAGGAAGATGATGATTGTACTTTTTTTTAGTTAACATCACAATTACGTTTTCAGACCAGGACGTCTAATAAAATAAATTGTAAAATTAAATATTTATCAATTAAGAGACATATAGTGTCGAATGCATAACTGGTGTAGTAAAATTGGTGGCGTGCAGTAGATATCATAATAAGACTAGAATAGAAAATGGAAACGGGGAATGTGTCAAAGAGACAACAACCCGACCATAGAGCAGAAAACAGCCCAAGCTCGCCAATGGGTCGAGAAAATCCCACATCCGGAGGCGGGCTTCTGCTGACCCTCAAACAATCCTTATGATATATAGAATGCATAACGAACAGTATGCTTGGAGCTTTCCTGATGAAGGTAATTCTAGAAGAGTGCTTCGGACGCATAACATAAGTGTTCTTTTCGTTATTATAGCACACGGTAGATACCTGTGCCGGATGTTTGTTAGTCGCAAATCATCAGCTCAATATTCAGTGTTTCGGTACTGTCAAGATATATAACATACCTTTTCTAAATTGTCCGTTTATTGATTATTGAAATATTAAGAAACTATAACTTTGAAAAGTAATTAAAAAGTTGAATTCTATCGATGATCGTAAAAAAATCAACACAACTATCATCCATCCAAACCAACCAACCAATCGATATGTAGCAAATGTGACTAGGTTGGTTGGTCCAACCAACAAAACCAACCTCAAATCAATAACAAATCATCCGAGAACGTCGAGAAGGACCTCCACTAACAATTGATCTTTTATTATGCTTTACATACTTCCAAATAAATGATTTAAATTCAGTTTGGAAACAAACTTTAACCGCTAACACCAAACCTAATATTGTTACATCTCATACATTCTATTTGGACCGTTTATAAAATACCAATCTACCTACGAATGAGCAAAAAAAGATTTATAGGTAAAAGCCTACATATTTTTATTTTTGCAAAATTATATTTAAAACAACCACATAACCTCTACTTTTACCCATGGCTATTGAAGTTATAAATTATATTAATAGCACTATGAAAAGTTTGAAAGGGGAAATATCTCCATGATCTTGGATATTCATGTAGATATGAAATCAATTTTGTTTCATGATCTAGCAGTATTGGAAGAATTGTTATCAATTTCACAATGTTCGACAATTAGTACAATATAAAAATCAACCGTTTTTGTGGTGTATCACTTCAAAAATTACATTGTTGATATGTGAAAGGCTACTTAAATTGTAAAACTTTATCCCGACCTGAATCTTCATTTTATAAACAGCAAAAACAACAAAAATCTTGGTTATAATTGCAATGACTGTTTGAACGATAAAAACAATGTTCAGTTTGGATTCTTATTATCCTGCAAATTTATTGTAATTTTAAAAATGTGCTTTACAAAGGTATTGATCCTATGAAACGGAATAATTACATATAAACCTATTATATCCCTTTTCATAAACGTTCATAAAATTTGTCTAATTGGAGAGCGTTAATATTTTTCAGGACTGCCGTTTTCTTCGCAATTTGTAGCAATTTTGCATCTTAAACCGATTTAATCTGTCAATGTCAATATTCAAATAATCTACTAAATATTCTTTTATCCAGTTGAAAATCTTTTATGTAAATAGATATATAATTACTTATACTGCTTTTTATTTGGTTAGTTTAATTACTTGAAATAATTGTAATAGAAACAACAAAGAATATGGGGTATCCATCCATGACAAAAAATCAATACATGTACTGCGCATGATGCAAAAAAACATACAAAAAGAAATTAATTCTGCCTCGACTACCGATGGAAAAGGTTGGCATGATTCTCATCATACTTATTTATGGTGCCGTTATAATAAACCCAGTATGCTATGGAATATCGGAAAATAAAAAGAAATTTACAGTAGAATCGGGAAAGAGAATTGTTTCAAGTATTTCAACAATTAAAACTAGAACAGATTCTCCTGTAGCATGTTCTAGCCTTTGTACAAGCAATACATATTGTGTCACAGCAAGTTATGATAATTTCGCAAAAGAATGCATGATGGATTCCGACTGCACCCCAACGACAGAAACATGGCAAAATGCACTTCTCATCCGAATAGGTGAGTATAAATGACTACAACTTAACAAAGATGCATGTTTAAAGGATTATGCTCAATTGTGGAGATACAGTTCTGCAACTTTTTGCTATTTAATTACATCACTGAATGCGATGTATCACCAATGAATGTACATGTATCCTAATTTTTATTAACATGTATGGCGCAGGAACAAATATAATTTTCGGAGCACCTGTTTTCCTCGACTGATCGTTGGTTTATATTGTCCTGTAATGTCTTTTGATTCATTTCATACTACTAAATTCATTTTTTCGCATCATGTAGATTAGTTCGACTTGTCTATTTTCTGATTTTTTTGTCCACGAACGGAATTTATTCTTTGTATAATTCTCATCTATTGACTATTGACTTTAAGAATTCAAACTGGATGAAATAAATCATGAAGCTGTGGGTTTTATATGTTCTTTATGCACAATTTGGTATCTTTCGATAAATTAAGAATATTTCCACTTTTTTTAAATAACAGAAAAACTGTAACATGTCTAATCTATTTAACTAATTGAACATGAATGTAATAGCAGTGTAATGTGCTTTATTTAATGGTCCTTTTTAATATCTAAGTAGTACGTAAATCACAAGACTTTTGTAGTCTATCAGACTCTGTGAACATTCAAATGTTGGCTTGCTCGGGGTGATGTACGCTTAGACTTATGGTGTTATTGATGTGTTTTTGTTTCTTTAATTATTTATTGTTGAATATCTTTTTTTTTGATTTTTTAGTGTTCATTACTATGTCTTTGAAATTGTTTAACCTAAATATGTGTATTGATGTTTGATGCTCCATTTTCTGGACCACACAAACTTTTTGTATTGACAAGCATCACAGTATTGTTAACATTTGGAGTGCATGATGCATTATTTTAAGGTACTATTTTAAAATCAAATATAGAAACACTGGGACAAACGGAGTCATAAATATATTTTTTAAAATACCAACTAAACTGACAAAACTGTCTTAGAGGACAAATGTATCCAAAGTTTATCCTAAGGGAAAACAATAATCCTACAGGAGAAAATTTATCCGAAGGAAGAGAAAAAAATCCGATAGGAGAAAAATTATCCTATGGGAGAGAAAAAAATCCCACAGGACAAAATAAATCCCTTAGTAAAAAAAATAATCCTAAGGGAATTTGAATCTGAGATTAAGTCTTTCATGATAATCTTATAGGATAAAACAAAATCCCATCGGATTTAACATTATTTTTGAATATCCTACAGGATTTTGAATCCCGTAGGATATTAATTTTATCCCATAGGAGATAAATTCTCCTATATGATAAAAAAAGTCCTAAGGGGTTTTAATATCCCATAGGATATTACAAATATCCTACGGGATTATGACTTTATCCTATATGATTTCTTAAAATCTTGTAGGATTATTTTTATAAATCCTATGGGAGAAAATAATATCCTACAGGATTTTGTCACTCGTAATGCCGAACCAGGAGAGCTAGACCAACAATTTTTTGAATTGTTTTACCTATCCCCAGAGGTTAATTATTGCCAAATTTGATGATTCTACCGTTTAAAAAGTGTCGTTCCAATTTGCACACATGATAAGTGCATTTTATTCCAAGAAACTGTTTGTTGTTATATTTGCAATTTTGTCTCGGGGCAATCGTGGCAATGTAATTATCAAGTAAATGACGGACATACGATAGGACGGCTTCATTAAATCGTTTTGCTTTTATTCCCATCAAACGGTGAAGAAAAAAAAGATGTTATAGGTAAGTGTGGTCTATACCAAATCATAATTCA